ATATATATGGTCCCGAACTTGATTGTCAGGTTTTTATTTGTAGTTGTGTGATTGGAGTTTTGTTTTCTTTCGTAGTTTGCTTTGATTTTTTATTCTTAAAGCGTTGAGTGTACTCCCACCTGAGTGGGATTCGCTACATTTAGTCGTGGTCAAATACAGAGGACAGTAGGGGGGCGGTTGTGACACCAACAGTAGAATTTCTGAGTCATTGAGCTTCGACAGTTGCAAAGGGCGATCCAGCAGTACTTAGTTTCGGTCCGACAATGGATGGTGTGCTCCAGCAATGTGCTACTGGGGTCCAAAAGTCAACATCAAATCTGGCCAAATTGAATTTTGTGTACGAGAAGGGCATTTTCGTATAAAAAAATGAATTTTTTCACTTGGGATGGGTATTTGCATAGAAAGTTTGTTTTAGGGAAGAAAGTGGGAAAAAAATTAAATTAGAAGTAAGTTGCATAAAAAAAATATTGACTTGGATTTTTTTATTTTATTTTATAATTATCCCATTATTGTTTTATAAAAACCAAAAATACCCCCAACTACCGTGTAGGGCGAGGGGGAGGGGGAGGGGGTGGCTATGTACCTAAGTGGATGAACATTAAGATCGGGCACCTCCCATATACTTGCGACTTTATAAGAATGAGAGAGGTTGGTTTGGTCGGCACATGCATGACCTGTTAGTACGTCCTACTTTGAATCACATGGCCAACTCCTTCGCAAAAAAGAGATATCCCGTGATAATGCTCGTCATTTGAAACGTGTTAAAATAAAAGAGATATCGCCTACTAGCAACATATTATAAATGCACGTGATTTGAAACGTGTTTAAAGGAAATCATAAATTTGAGGGGGTGACATTTTTATAAGCCGTCAACCTTATACTATTTAGAGTAGGTGCACCTTAGAACTATGTAGAAAATGCAGTTTTGGTGCCGAGTTGATATGAAAATCTTATTGTTGCCTTTAATTATGAAATTTGAAGTTCTAAAAATAGGGATGATAAAGAAGAACTACAAATGCTTGAAGATCTTGAAAATGGACGGTTCAAATAATGTTTTGAAAGATGAACTATTTTTAAGACTACAAATCCCTTTGTTTTGTATCTATGAATCTTGAATTCGAGATAATCGAATTCGAGATAATCGATTTGAGTGCTTTCCAGTATAAAAACAACTTTATCTAATGGGTTTTTTAGGTGTATCTTACTCATATAGAATAAGATTGACACCTTCTAGAAACTTTTCTCATTTTGAGTGAGGAAAAAGAGGGAGAGGGAGCAAAGAGTAGGAATTATGATCATGGACACAGGGGACCCACATTTGGTAAAGTATAACAGAATAAGGTGGTCGGTGATAGTAACACATGGATTATGTCATTTGTCTAAAGCTTGCCTTGATAGTATCGGCAAATGTCGTTTCAGCATTGAAAATGTTTGAGATGTTTGAAAATTCACTTTCATATTTAATTATGACTTTGAAGCTTCAAACGTAGTGTATATCAAATAGATCTATGAACATTTGAAAATTTTAAAACTTGACGGTCCAAATAATGCATTGTAAGATTTACTATTTTTAAGACTTGAAGTCTCTTTTTTTTTTTTTTTATGTCAATGTATCTCAAAGTCGAGATAATCGAATTTGAGTGTTTTTCAGCGTCGAAACAACTTCTTTTGAATTTTTGAGTTGTTGTTTTGATTTGATTGTTTAGAGTCTCAACCTTATAGTTTATATAAAAGAGATAGAGAGTGTGGAATACACAATAGCAAAAGTAAGAGAGCAAGGAAAATATTTTAGAGGGTCTTAGCAAACCCCAGTGCACATGTAAAACAAGCCAGAGAGAAACGTACAGAAAAAGAATGGTATTAATAACTCCAAGTGTATCTACTGAACAAATGGGACACAGAGAGTAAAGGATGTTAATACTGCCAAGCACATCTGTAAAACAAGGGATTTCAATATTCTCAACATGAGAATCTCTCTTGAGCAGTATGGATTATCTTGTTTACTTGTAGATATGAAACTTAAAATGAAGTATAAATTATATTTGAAAAGTTGAAAATACAATTGTTAAGAGTTTTAAAACTTGGATGGTAGTCATGGTGAAAATCAAAGAAAGAGTGAAGATCCAGGACGAGTACAATATATGTTGTTGTTCATATGTACCCAAAAAAAGAAGTTGCAAGCGTAAATCTTTAGAATGCGCTAAATAATTATGAGAGTAAGTTTGGCACAATCAGCTTGATGAGCTCAATAATTATGGGAGTAAGTTTTACACAATCAACAGGATAAATTAGAGTTTCTTTTGAGAGGAAAAAGAGACAAATCCAGAAAGGGAAAAGTTTATAAACAATCAAATTTGAGCCTACATCAAAAGTGTCATTAGAAGAGGTTGTTTTGATGCCCAAATATATTCAAATTGTTCATCTCGATATCAAGATGTATGGACATGAGAAAAAAATGGATTTTAAGTTTTGGAAATAGTGTATTTTGTAACCCATTTTTGAACTGTCAATTTTCAAGATTTTCATAGATCAGTCGATTTACGTTAATTTTGAAGCTTTAAACTTTATAAATAAATATAAAAATATATTTTAAGGCTATCACAAAGATTTTCAATATTGACATCACATTTCTCGATACTATTTGAAGGTAGGCTCTAATTTGATTGTTTAGAGCCTAGGCTCTATACAAATCACACCCATCCATATCCTAATATATTTAAAAACTGAAAATTACCAAATTATCATTCTTCCAAATAAAGAGTTGGAAAGTGAGAAATATATAATGGGGTTAATCAAACACACCACAAAAATTGAAAAACTGTAGACAAAATCCAATGAAAAACAATGGATTCCATCAAAAACATAAAATGGGGCTCATCATGCCACTGGAAAATCAAATAAACCATTGTAAAATCCAACAAAAATAAGCATTTGACCAACTCATATGATCTTCATAGTGTTAGTATTTTTTGTTTGAAAAATGCTTAAAAATATTTCAAACCATCATTTTGGTTTTATAGATATTTTTTAAAATGCTTTGTAGAGAAAGAAAGATGTTGAGTCCCACATTGAAGAGAAGAGAGTTTGTTGAGGTGTATTTAAGAGCATGGATTTCTATACAATATACTCTAAATACAAAGGAGAGAGAGGGTGCATGTGCAACACGTGCACTTGCTTGTGCGAGGGCGTGGGCGCAAGGGTGCTTGGGTAGCTTGCTCACTTTGCACTTCGCTCGCAAGAAGTGCCCCTCACCTGAGCACGTGTGCGGATTAGGCTCGTAGCTCATAATCTTTTTGTGAGCCCGGCTCGTAGGGGGATCCAATGGTCATCTAGCCATTGATACGTGTAGGACATCCAACAGTCATATAGCCCTTGATAAGGTGGAGGCTTGTAACAACAACTATGCATGTAACTCATATAACTTGTAGTTGTTGGACTACATATAACTGGTAGTTGTTGGGTGGAGGCTTGTAACAACAGCCATGCATGTAACTCATATAACTTGTAGTTGTTGAACTACATATAATTGGTAGTTGTTGGGTGGAGGCTTGTAACGACAGCCATGCATGTAACTCATATAACTTGTAGTTGTTGAACCATATGTAACTTATAGCTGTTGGGTGGTGTATGTAACCACCACAACACTAAATGGGTAGCCTCTTGGTGCTCTATAACAAAGGCCCTCCTACCCATATGAATTTAGACACTTAAAACAAGGTTTAGCCTCTCTCAACAGACAATTCTCTGCAATTCCAGCAAGTAAACCAGTGGGCTAACACTCTCTTTCTTAACTCATTTTTTTTTTCTCTCTCTAATACAACAAGACTCTGGTATCTATTGTGTGCGTTCCAAGCTCGGCATAGAGCTTAGGATCATCGTTATAAGACCTCTCTGTTTTCTTGTATCCCCGAGGACGAATTATCCTCCTTATGCACAACAATACTCAATCGAAGGAGGACAAATATCGTCTTGAGAATGCGCTCTTGCGTACCCGAAAACAAGAAGAGTTCAAGTCCCTATTTTCGAAATTGTATCATTTTTTGCCTCGATTTTACCCAACCAAACTCCAACACAAAGATCTTCAGGATTTATATTGCAATTTTGATTGAAAAATTGGTTGGGTGAAAAAGGTTAAAAAGTAGTATAAATTCGAAAAATTAGAAACTTGAATCCTTCTTGTTTTCGGGTACGCAGGAGCATTTTCTCAAGATGATATTTTCCCCCCTTTGATACTGTAATAGATGTGCATAAAAAGGACAACTCGTCCTTATGATATAGGAAAATGAAAAGATATCTTAAGATGCTCCAAAGCTCTATGCACCCAGCTTGAAGCCTACATTAGGCACCAGAATCTAGTGTTGATTAGAGGGGAAGAGGAAAAAACAAATAGAGATAGATAGATGAGTTCACTGTATGTGCAGAGAAAGGTGTGTTAAGAGAGAGTTGCAAAAGTCAATTTTCATATGGGAAGAATGACCCTTATTACTGCCTATTTACATACACTATCAACAATCACAAATTACATGTACGCCCTTAACTTGACAACTACTTTTACGAGCCTCTTTTTCTGAATGGCTAAATGACTGTTAAATGTCCCACACAAGCTATATTCACAAAGTTTGCATAAATGCCTTTAGCACTAAAATCGTGAATAAATCTTAGTATCCAAAAGTTAAATCGTGAATAAATCTTAGTATCCAAAAGTTGCATTATCGTTTTGAGGATAAAATAGTGTTTCTCTGGCACAAGGCTGTTAGTTTGTGATTAGGAATTCTATTTTGGTTTGGAATCATCTTTTATTAAGGGTATAACATCATTCGAGTCCAATTATCTTGATGCCTAAATTAAGGTAAATTTACAGAAAACATTTCTAGAAAATAAGCACACATAACCGTAAGTTCGCTGAAATAATGCACAAGAGCCTATACTCTGATGTTCAAGCAGAAAATCTCAATCCAAAAAACCATGTATTGCGACTAGTGAGCTTGAAATTTGCAGGTATGCAACCCCAGTAGCGATAATTTAACAGAGGGGATCAATATTGACAAGACTATAGAGATTTGAACGCCAGAACTCCAGAGATTTGAACCCCCAGTAGCTTGTAATTTTAAATTGCTTTAAAGATCCAGTCATTATTCAAAAACTCAGGAATCGTTTTAAATTTGAAATTTATTTTGGAGGGATTTTAAAAAGTCAAAAATACCTTCTTAAAATAGAACAATATATGAAAATAAAGTCAAACAAATTAGAGATAATTACATTGATATGGATCAAAAATTGAATAATGACGCATCGTTTCTATGACATAGACTTCTACTTTTTAGTTTTGAAGTGTAACATGTAAGGGAAAAGTTTATATAGAGCTGAGGTTCTAAACAATCAAATTCGAGCGTAAGATGTGTAAGATATCTAGTAGTAAGATGTGTAGATATCTAGTAAGTGATATCTCCTATAATAGTTAGGGCAAGCTTTTTATATTTTTCCTACAATATAAAACTTATATACTTCTCCTTATCCAACCGTCAATTCTAAATGGAGGGCTAAGATTGCCTCAATCATAATGTCACGTCTCTACACCATTTTAATTTTAATTTTTTTTATATAAACTATTTTGACACCAAAATTTGGACGTCCAATCCCCTATTAAACTCGCACTAGCGAAAAATATAAAAAAAATTTCCAATAAAATAAAATAATAAAAAAACCTTTGAAAGTTTTATGGGGTATTTTAGTCATTATATTTTATCGAAAAAATATTTTTAATATTTTTTATAGGTGCGCCCCCATGAGAAGATGGCACGTACCAAATTTCATATTCAGAAAAATTTAATTAAAAAAAACTAAAAATAAAATACTCTGAGACGTCGGATCAAAGATCAAACGACGAGTGGCTCTCTTGATAAAAAATCGACGGCTGGATGGTAGGAGAAGGATAGAACTTCTATGTTGTAGGGGGACATAGAAAGCTTTCCCTTTATATATTGCATCCCGTGAGACATAGACCATGCATCTAAAGATGAATGCAAACTTTGGTCCCTCCAAAAAAAGTAAAATAATGGCTCATATATTTCTTCCTTAAAAAAATGTCATTTCTAATTTAAATTTTTTTTTTGCACATTTAATTAAGACTAACTGTCCAAAAGTTTTCTTACTAGAATTATTACTTTTAGTTTTAAAAATTTATTTATTTATTCATAGTCATGATGTCCATGTTAGAGATTACATATTAAATCTTAAAATCTATCTCAAAAATAGATTTATTAAGAGGCTCACATTTCTAAATATGCAGGCTTGGCTGCATAGAAACGGGGTCCTTTATATATTAAGTTTGGGAATATTATTCATTTTTTACTTTGGACGAAAACTTGTAATTTGATTCATTCAAGCAATAGGGGGACCATACGGTTTATGTAAATATTACATGCTTAGGAGGGTACTTGCTAAATACTTTTTGGTTCTATACTCTATTGCAGGTTCCTGCTTCTATCAACTGTCGGCTTCTTGAGCATCAACGAGAGCGAGAGAGGTTCTTGTATGGTTTGTACGAGAACAATCATGGAGGTATTCTTGGAGATGACATGTGAGTTCTCATTCATTTCATTCAATAGGATATATGAAATAATTGAATTCTTATTTTACTTTCCATTGGTTTCATTCACCGTATGTATGCGCATGTGTATGTGCATGCCACACATGCCTATGTGTATGTGTTTATCTTTCTATCTCTTTTTGTATGGTGTACATGGGTGAATGTGTGCGCGTGCATGCATGCTTGTGTAGGTGTACGTGCTTGTGTCGCGCGTGCATGTTACACGGATTATTCTTTCCCTGCACTCTCCTTTCTGTGAGTAGATGGTCCTGTATGTTTGATGGTATTTTTGACACACTTATATCCACGATACAAATAAAAGAGAAGCCAGTGGCAACTTAAGCCCGTAGGTTCCAAAATGCATATGGACCGCAGAAGCCCTAACCAAATAAGCCTTATTCTGAGAAGCCCCGAGGATGATGTCAGATCGGCCCCAAATTAGTCACATGAGTTCCTCATGACAATACAAGGATTTCCTCCAAGTTTCATTCAATTTCGATGCAAATTGGAGAAAGTAGGTAGAAATAAGTTTCAGCTTAGGCTCCTTACAAGCCTACGGTGCACCATAGTCAGGACCCTACTCCAGAGGCTTCTAATGACCATGGGGCCACCGCCAATGGAGCTGAGAGGTTAAGAACAGTCATCATGCCAAATTTTGGTGCAATCTAACCCTCTTAGGTCCTACTGCCCAAAAATAGCAGGTTTTTAATGACTTATGGTATACTCCATTTGAGAAAACCTACATTAGGAACCTCCAATGACCGTGGGACTACCACCAATGGATTTGGGAAGTTAAGAACAGTCATCATGCCAAATTTTGACGCAATCTGACCTTCCTAAGTCTTGCTGCCCAAAACTGACAAGTTTCTAGCGACTTATGGTACCACATTTGGAGAACCTACTCTAAGAGACCTCCAATGATTGTGGGACCACCAATATTGGATTCGAGAGGCCAAAAACAGTTACTATACCAAATTTTAGCTCATTCCGACCTTCCGAGGTCGTACTTTCAAAAAATGGTAACTTTTTTTTACTATTCACTTGGCCATGATGAACCAGTTACTATAAATAGTAATTATGTTTTTGCATGGGGAACTTATGTGATTAATTTGGGGCCCATCTGCATAAGATTTATAAGCACAGGATAGGTCTTTTTGTTATGGGAAAAAACGTCATGTTATAGTCTTTCTTCTTCTGGCAGCTGGTTCTCTAGAGAAGCTTGTGTACACTCGTCAGATATATAAACAGCAACTTTTCAGTATTTCTGTTTCGGGAAACATGGAAAAACGATATTTCGAAGGCGTTCAGTTTGATTACTTTGAATTCAATAATGTTGTTACTAATGATTTCTTGAATGGAAAGTATATGATACATATAAGGTGTATGGTACATATTCCCTTTGTGCCTATAACAGACGGGTTATGTCTTGGTTAATATAGTTTGTATTTCTTTTCAAGAAATGTGTTCTTTTGGTTTGACCACAGGACTGCAAAAATTTCAGAGGCAAGCTGTTTGGAATATGTAATCTATTCCATGACTTGTCAGATAAACGTTTCACAAGTGAGATCATTGAACAACAAGGCAGACAAACACAAGACAAAACAGGAAGTGAAACTGATTATGTAACCGAAAGCTTGCATAACAGTTCACAAGTGAATAAAGCATTGCTGTCAAATGGTGAAGCTGCTGTGCAAAGCAAAAGGGAAAGAGAGCCAATGGTAGCAGATCTGCTGGATGAATTGGGTAAAGTCATACTGTAGCATGTTTTTTCTTTACCTCTTCTCTTCCCTTGCATGTCTTTGATTGGTGCAAATCTCTGAAATATATTTATTGCATTACCGCATTGAATATTTCTAGTACCTTAACTTATGTAAATAGGGTCCCCTCTCCTCCTCCCCCTGGTGAAATGAAAGAAAAAAGAAAGGACCAAGAGATACAGGTACATGTCCAAATCCAAATGTAGGTTTCATTTAATGGAAATAATACACGTGACGAAGTATTCTTTCTGGACTGGAGTTTCCATGATGGATTTTAGATCAGAGGTTGCGTGTTGGCAAATTGTAAATATGCAGTCTACAAGTCTTTCCATTCAAAATTCATCTTGTCTCATAAATTTATGCAGTCTCCAATGCTCTCCTTCCAAACATAAGGTTTCCAGTTATAAAGATTGAGTTATAAAAGACGTAACAAAAACTCTTAAGGCCCCCGTCCCATTATTACGTTTCTACAACAAATTGCATAATGGGGATGATGTAATTTGAGAGTTTAAACAATTCAAGGTCCTTCATTGTCTGAAGTAAAAGATTATTGAGACTAAACAGAAGATGATGTGTGGAAATATTATTTGCAAGGTAGATAAACACTTGCATTTATTTTGGGTAATTCAACTTGTGTTGGACGAGGCAAGGTCTGAATCCTTGACCTCTTTCCAAAGATATGGTTGTCATATTTTTTAACCGAAGGCGCACAGACAATATTCACTTGCACTTGCATACATGAAAGCTGAGAGTTAATGTCATATCCTTGCCCAATTGAGAATATAGTCCTGATTATTATTGACTTATTTAAGGATGCCAAATTATATAGGGATTGGGAGGTATGTAAATCTAGCTTTTCCTAGGCCTGATAACAGCCATGTAGTGTGAGACATGAGTCATGAGATATTGTCTATATTTATGTTTACCTGGGATGCTGCATCTAGAGGCTGCTGCTGT